GTGATTGGCTGATTAGAAATTAAGTGTTAACGAGCAGTTGGACAGGTGTACCTAATAAAGTGGCCAGTGAGTGTAGATTTACATGTATAAAAATGATTAACTGTCACACCTAGAAAGAAGCAAGAACCAGGTTAAACCTATTAGAGATCCGTTAACAAGAAAAGCATGTGAACCTGCTGTCTGTGGCAACCACTTTCTGCAGCACAAACTGGTCCAAACCATGACACTACCACTTCCATGTTTCAGACATGAGATAAGCTTTTTATAGTAGAAAACAAATTGCTTCACATTAAATTTATCTTTTAAGTTGTGTTGTGTGTTATTTTTGATTTTCTTACCTCCAGGCCAGGCTGCACCCCTCCGCAGCAGGACCTCTTTCATCAGCCCTGCAGATTCAGATCTTCTGTGAAGACATCTAAACGCTGATGGGCTTTGATTGTGATATAAATACGGACCACTGTGGATCCTGCTGAAAAGTCCCACTTTACTATTTCCAAGTGGACCAGCGCGTTTCAGCGGGTGACCTTCTGCGCGTGCGCAGCAGAGGAAGAAGGTTCGAGCCCCATCAAACCTCGGAAGAAGGGGGCACAGAGAGCTGAACTGGCTTTTTGGATAAATGTTTCCAGCGTAAGTTGTCCTGGAGGAGTTCATACAGCCGGCCAGCAGCGGTCTGTGCAGTTTAACCTCCACACCGAGAAACACCGCCTTCACACCGACTGCCATGCTGGTTCTTGTTCACCACAGCGAGGAGAGGTCATGAAAAATGTGGCAGCATAAAATAAAAGAGAGCTTCTGCCTCCATGGCAAGGGGAAAACAAAAGTAAAAGTACATGCGTGGGTTAAAAGTTTGAACGAAGCCTCTCAAAGAGGTAGTTTTAGGGCAGTCCAGGCTTACAGGTTAAACACTGACCGTCGATAGTTCAAAATGTTTTTACCTCTTTTCAGTGCTCCGTTACTTCCGCTTACTTTTTACTGGTAACTAACTTTTTACTGGTAACTCGTTGTGACATTTACCGAAAACACAATTATGAGAAACAAACACGCCGAACTGATGATGACTTCCCAAAATCAACACACAAGTCAGAAACTGGTTAGCATACAGTTCTTCTTCTATGTCAGATTCACTCTGTCAACGAGCACAAATCGCTGCACTGCCACCCTGTGGACAGAAAAGGTGTTACGTCGAGCCGGTTTCCCCAGCGTTTCCTTACCGCTCCGCACCGCCCATGCGGCAAAAAAACGCGCGTGCTTGTTCAGAGCTATTTTCGCCTCATCCGAGCCCAGTTTGATGAGCTGCTGACCCGCATCATTCAGCTGATGAGCGCCTGTCCATCTGTCTCAGGTTAGTTTGGATCATTCAGGAGACTTTTTATTCATATTGTTTTAAAAATGAGCAGTGGTGAAAGTAGTATTTTTTAATAAAACTATCAAATTCTTCTTAAGTAGTAGCTCAAACCAGGTTTATAGGTGTAAATC